ATGGGGAAAATTATCTCACATAAAAGAGATGTGTATCCCTTTAGGACCATAATGAAATAAAAATTCAATAGGGGCCACAACATAGATTAAAAATGAATTGGAAACTAAATAATCTAATCCCAAAGTATGAGTGGGTCAAAGAACAAATCATAGAAGCAATAAATAATTTCACTAAAGATAATGACAACAATGAGACAACAAACCAAAATTTGTGGGAGGCTGCCAAAGAAGTACTTAGGGGAAAATTTAGATCTTTAAATGCTTCTATCAATAAAATCAACAACAACAACAACAACAAAACAAATAAGAAAAAAGAGCAGATCAACAAATTGGGCATGCAACTAAAAACTAGAAAAAGAACAAATTTAAAATCCATTTAGACACCAAAATAGAAAATTATGAACAGTCAGAGATGAATAAAATTGATAGTGAAAAACAAAAAACAAACAAACCATGGAACCAATAAATAAAACTAAAAAACCAAAACAAAACAAAACCCAGTAAGATAGATAAATCATTGGCTAATTTGATTTTTTAAAAAAAAAGAAAGAAGAAAATCAAATTATCAGTATAAAAAATGAAGATTAGTAAGAGAGTGGGGATGACGAAGGAGGCAATCTGCTAGAGAAGATGGGAGGGAATGAGATCAAGGGTGTATATAAAGGGGTTTGCCTGACAATAAGAAAGGCCATCTTTTTAATGTGAGATAGGGATGAAGGAGGAGATAGTGGAGAATGGCATCTGTGTGACATGAGATGAAGAAGAAAAGAGGAGAGTTCTAATTTAATGGCCTCAATTTTTTTGGTGAAGTTATGAAGTAAGGCCTTCTGTTGAGACAGTGAGGTTGTTATGAGAGGCATGAGGAGAGACGAGAATGTTTGGAACTGCTGTAGTAAGCAGGACAATGAGTTAATTAGGAAGGTATAAAAAGATTGCCTTGCTGAAATGAGGACCTGGATGAGATCATGTAATTTGTAGTAGATCTAGGCTGCATGGTTTCCTGATTTTCACTAGTTTCATTCAGCAGTATGTGAATAGAAGCATAGGCAACAGATGAAGGTAGTAATACAAAGTTGGGGTTTGGCAAGGCATGATTGGTAATAGAATAAGGGGAAAATGAAGTTAAATATAGAATTGAAATAATTCACCAAACAGAATAGGGAAGGGTAGAGAGTGTAGCCACGAAAGAGGTGATGACCTGGGAAAGAACTGAGGCATTGACAGTCATTGTAAAGAAGAGGGTTAGGGCTCATAAATCAAAGGGAAAGTTATAATGATAAAAGATTATGACCAAGTAAAGGAAATTCTGTAGTTTATGAACATGAAAGTAGAATACCTGTAGGTGACAGAAAGATCAAGGGTATGACCATCTATGTATGTAACTGAGATGGAATGGGGGAATAGGTAAGAAGATCTGAGAAGACTGTGGAGCAGAGAAGTTAGTAAACTTGATAGATTATCAATACGCATGTTGAAGTCCCCTAATACAAGGGCAAAAGTTGAGATGTAGAGAGACCACAAGCCAGATGCTGAACTTATTGAGGAAGGAAGGAAAACATTTTTCTACCAGAATACTTGTTGGGTAATAAATTTGGATTGGATGAATTTAAGGGAACAGTTTGCTGAGTGATGGTGGTAAAGAGATAGTTTGGAAGTGGCAATAGGGAGCAAGGAGTATTCTGATTTGCTCAAGTTGATTATGGGTAGGACATTTTCATCAATCCCATAAGGCAAGACAACAAGTCTTAGACTATCTGGAATGTTCTCCTTCCTTATCTCAGTCTACCTGCTTCCTTGGCTTCCTTTAACTAAAATCTCATCTTCTCCGAGAAGCCTTTCCTAATCTCTCTTAATTCTAGTGCCTTCTCTTTGTTAATTATTTCCTATTTATCTTGTATGTAGATTGTACATAGCTGTTTGTATACTGTCTTCTCCATTAATTTATAAGCTCTTTGAGAGCTGAGACTGTCTTTTGCTTTTTGTACAGTGCCTGGTACATAGTAGGCATTTAATAAATGCTTGTTGACTGATTTAGCTCATTCTCACATATGAAAAGGTCTCTTCAAGTGATGGAAGAATACCTTCTTAAGGAATTGCTCAAATTAGTCTCTGGTTTCTGCTTGTGAAAACCTCTAAAAGCCTAATTTACAACAAAACTGAAAACATTAAGAAATATATATGTATATATATTTCTTAATGTTCTCAAAAAAAAATAAATATATATATATGTATATATATATATATTTTTTTTTTTAAAGTCCTTTTCAGATTCCTGGGAAAGGTGACTGGTCAGGTCAAAAGGTGAAAAGGCCCTAATTAAGGTGAACGTAATCCAGAATGATGACATCAAAATTATCTGAGAGTCCATTGCTGTCAATCACCAAATCAACAACACAGAGATAGTACTACAGTTTTGTTATGCTCAGAACACAGGTTTCCCTCGATACAAAAGTCAGTAAGCCCAGCAACCTTATGAAGAATGTGAATACAGAAGCAAAGTGGGAATTATGGAATATTATAAATAGAGATCACCAAAGTATTGAGAGCTCTGACACAAGGTACAAGTATAAACTCCTGAAGTTTTTTTTTAAATTTGTCAAACATGATTAATACTTGCCTTTCTTACCTTCTCTTCTCCTATTGGTCAGTTATTCTTGGGGCCTCCCGATTTTGGAGAGGGGACTAGGCCTGCCAACCTTCATTCTCTCCTGGCTGTGCTTCTGACTTTCCAGCGATGGAAGTCCCAACTCGAGAACCTTTCCTCTCTTCCCCACCCCTCCCATTCCCCCTCTTTGATGTTTTGTTCTTAGAGGGAAGAATGTAAACTCCCTATCTTTCTTTTTTGCTTATATTTGTAGCCCCATGCTTAGTACAGTGCCTGGCATATAGCAAGTGCATAATAGTGAATTGTTAATAAACAATAAATATTTATCAACTGCCTGCTTTGTGCTGGGAGGCAGCTAGGTGGCTCACTGGATAGAGTGGGCTTGGGGTCAGGAAGACCTGAATTCAAATTTGACCTCAAACACTTACTCGCTGTGAGACCCTGGACAAGTCACTTAACCTCTTTTTGCCTTAACCCACTGGAGAAAGAAATGGCAAACCACTCCAGAATCTTTGCCAAGAAAACCCCCATGGACAGTATTGGTGTGGTATGGTCCATAGGGTCACGAAGGGTCGGATGTGACCAAAAGACTGAACAACCTTTGCCAGGCACTATGCTAAGTGCTAGGGATACTCAAAGGGCAGTCCCTGACCTTGGGGAGCTCATAATCTCTCAGGAAAGACAAGCAAATAAATAATGTACAAACAAGCTATATACAGGATAAATAGGAAATAACAAAGGGAAAGCACTAGAATTAACAAAGGTTGAAAAAGGCTTCCTGTGGAAGATGACATTTTAGTTGGGACTTAAAGGAAGCCAGAGAAGCCAATAGGCCAAGATGAGGAGGGAGAGTATTCCAGGCATTCTAAGGCTTGTTGCCTTGATTTATGGGGTTGTTGTGGTATTGAGATGAGATAATCGACATTAAAGTGCTTTGAAAACTGAGATACTATATAGAAGTAAAATGTTATTACCACTATTATTGTTTTCATTAGAGGCATGAGAGGAACATGCCTGCAAGTGAAGTTGGGCTTACAGGAGATGGTTGACTGAGAGGAAGGAAGCCATGGAGAGGTGTGGCCCGATCAGTCACTTGCAGAGTACTTCTGTGGTCTTGCCCACACATATTCAAGCTGCAAGACTGAGTCCTTTCCTCCTACCTTGAATGCTGCCAAAGCAGAATAATAAATAGGAATTCTAGCACCTGGAGTGGTGGGGACAAGATGTAGCTGGGATAATCTGTGTGGCTCATGGTTGAGGGCTGAAGAGGTTGAATTGGAATGCCAAGGTGCTAGAAAAGAGGAAGGGTTGCGTTGGAGAAGAGGATCAGCCAGGTACTAAACTGACTGGGGAGAAGTGAGACTAGGTCCAGAAATTACAACAACCAAGATCAACAGGATTTACTCAACAGAATTGAGTAAACTTTAGAAGAAGGGAGTAACTCCTAGAGGGAAGTTCTGAAAGTGGTAGTATGGAGCAGAGCATGCTAAACACCCTTTCTGGTCCTGTGATAGAAGGACTGACTAGTCTTGGAGAGAGTGTCAAGAAATGTGTTGTCTTTGGGAGAAAGCTAGGTTCTGGTGAGCACTGTTGGATGGAAGGAATCTGAAAGGAAAGAGATCTAAGATAAAGGGGGTTTATTAACAATAGAGGTTTCCAATGGGCGTTGTGGAAAAGGAAGGCAGAAAATAGGGACTTGGGGAGGGTTAGGTCTGTTTACTATTCAGAGGGAAACATACAGAGTTCCTTATTATATACCCCATTCAAGGTGGTCCTTGGGACACAGTGACTCATGTCAGTAGGCTGGCTTTGGCAGAGAAGTACGGCCATCAAGGGACACTTAAGGGTGACTGCCTAGCCTGGGGATGGGGTAGCCAGCCAACCTGGTGAGGGAGGAGACTCACATCAGAAGGCTGGCTTAGGCAGAGAGGTGAGGCTGTCAGGAGACCCTGGTGGGGGGCCAGGCTGGTGGGGGAGGGGGTGGAGCAGCATACTGAGTTCCTCCTCATCCCCACTCTAGGTAGCCCTGGGGAGAGGGGCAGAGACTCACATCAGAAGACTGGCCTAGGCAGAGGGGGGCATGGCTATCAGAGGACCCCTGGAGGGAGGAGACGTTGGGAGCGCCCTGCCCCCGTCAGCACCCGGGCCAAAGTCCCGACAGCCCCGGGTTAATTCTGGCTCTGCCGCAGACGACAGCCATGCGAGGATATGCAGGAGCCCCTCACTCTGCGCCCTGCCGCCCACCCAGTAAGGGCAGCGAAGCTAGTACAGTGGGGACGAGAGGGAGGGAGGAATCTTGGCCCGGGAAAGTGTCCCAGGCGCAACGCCAGCACCGGAGGAGAGAGGGGCGCGGCCTCCCCACCAGGCCCCGCCCGCCTCGCAGAGCGCCACGTACCTCTTAGGGAGACCTCCCTCCTATCGGTCCCGGGCCTGCCTCTTCTCTTTCCCTCTCGCTCTCTCGCCCCGTCCGCCTCGTCTCCGCCCCGTCCAATCAGTGCCCTCCGCGAACCGAAGCCGGCCAGTCCGGACCAATCGACGGCCGATGGGGGCGGTGACTATCGCCATGGCAGCGGAGGAGGGCTCGCTCGCGGCGGCGGCAGCGGCTGGACGGCAAGAGAGAAGGGCCGGCGCCGCCGCAACGGGGGAGCGGGCGCGAGCGCGAGGGAGTAGCCGCCCTGGTCCGAGGGACCCGACGTGACCGCGCAGACGAGAGCCGGTGCCCAGGCGGAGCCTTCGGGCAAGGTGAGGCCAGCGCCCTGCGAGGGGTGGGTGGTCCCGCTCCCGGGCGCTGCGGGTGAGGAGGGAAGCCCCCTCCTCCCCCGTCTTTCATCCTGTCCGCTTCTCATTCGCCCTGGTGCGTGGAGATAAAGCGGGGCTCTTCGGCCCTGGCCCCCCAGGCTGGACACGGAGAGGCCGGGGAAGAGGAGTACCCTTCGAAGGCTCCCCTTTCCCCCGGGACCTGGGGTGGGAGTAGAGGGGTCCCCAGCCTAAAGGATGCTGCAAACCCTAGGAATCCTCCCCTCCCCGCGCAGAGCAAAGCCGGGCCCACATGGTCGTCTTATTGTTTCCTTATTATTTAAATCACCCCCAAACTAAGAAGAGGGAAATGTTCATACTAATTTGGGAACGTCTCTGTAAAGAAAAATCTGCATAATGATGACTCAGGTAAATGTCGAATCCCATGTGTGTCTGGGATAGTGAAAGTTGTCTCTCGGTGCTGCACCTGTTCGTTGGGTACATAGTGAAGACCATGGCTTAGGCAGCACAGCCTTAGAGAAACACTAAATGTTCATTTAAACCATTGAACGCATTTCGTTTTCTGGTGAGCAGACGCTTTAGAATCGAACGTGGCAGGATATTTTGGAAAGTTTCGACCCAACTCCTTAAGTTAAGTAATGTTGCCTTGCACAAGTGTGGGCTGTTTCGCTTTGCCATATTGCAAGGCTTTGGTTGATGAAACAACGTTAGCGAGAAGCCACAGTTTCTACTTGTAACAAAGGAGAGGTTAACTAGGAAACATTTTTTTGAACAATGTTTTTTCTTTGGAGGGAGAGTGTAAACTTCCCTTTATTGGAGGTTTTAATGATTAAGATAGTTTAAATGGTATGATTTGAGTTCGGATCACATAGTTTAGAGATTCCATCCATTTGGCTCTGTTTTGAAATTTACTTGATTTTAAAATCTTTCCCTGATGGATTCTTTTAACTGCATTCATGTCTAAATGTAACGAGCAGCAAAGCCTGAATTCAAATGTAGCTTCAGATACTTACTAGCTGTATGACCCTGGACAAGTCACTTAATCTCTGCTTCAGTTCACTTAACTGTAAAATGAGAATAATAGCATTTACCTATAAGGGTTGTTGTGAGAGTCAAATGAGATTATATTTGTAAAAGCCCCTGGTACATAGTAGGTACTATATAAATAGAAGTTTCTTTCCTTCCTGCATGTATTATTCCAGAAACTCAGCAAACGCTGAACTTATTTAAAGGTTTCATATTGAATGTGTTAAGTAAGCTAATCTTATTTTATGACTATGTAAACAACAAACACATGTTTTGTATTAATATTAAGTGCTTGCTAAGGGACTCTGCTAGGTATTGGGAATTTTTTTGTTGTTGTTCTGGCCTTTGATTTTGTGGTGTAGGAATTCCTTTATACTCTTCACCAATGCAGATCAGCAGCTATTAGGCTTAATAATAATCTTAGAGAGTTTCTTTGGGCACTGAAAAGTTAAGTGACTTGTCAGAGTTCAGTAGCCAGAGTGTTTCTGAGAGGGATCTTGAACCCAGGTCATGCCTATTCCCAATTTAGGTAGGTCATCTGTCCTTTATATCACATTGCCTCTCATGCACGTGTGCTAGGGTTAGTTTGTGCTCTCTCTCCCTCTCCCTTCTCTCTGTCCCTCTCCCTCTCTCTTCCTCCTTCTCTCTTCCCCTCTCTCCTTCCCTCTCGCTTTTCCTCTCCCTCTCCCTCCCTCTCTTCCTGTCTTTCTCCCTCCCTCTCCTCCTTTACCCCTCTGCTTCTCTGTTCCCTCTCCTCTCTTCCTCAGTCCGTCTCTGTCTCTCCCTCCCTCCCCCTCTTTCTCCTTCCCTCACTATCTCTCTTTTGGCCTCATGGAGCTTATATTTGGAAAAGGAAGCAGGTAAGTAAATATAAAATATATAGACAGTAATTTTAGAGAGAGAGAGAGAGGTTTCTTGTAGTGCATGACAAGAGCTAATTCTGGTAGTGAGCTAAGAGTTCCAAGAGAAACATTTCTAAGTTAACATTGAACTATAGATGGGACAAAATGATAGCCAAGCCCAAGGAAACAGTTAACACTTTGACTTTTGAATGTCTCTTTGATATATTCGTCATTTTCTCTAATGTTAGGGTTAACACTCTCAACTCATCCAGGTTTTAAAGCCCTTGGAAATCTGGCCCTATCTTTGGTTAATACCCCTCTAATTTTCAACAAAAACCCTCTGATGAAATCAAGCCATTCTCTTGATTTTCTTTATTTCTGTCTCTTTGCTTTTGCTCCAGTTGTTTTCTTTACCTGGAAAGGGTACCTCTCCTTTTCCTATCCAAGTTTTTCCAGCTTTCAAGACCCAGGTCTAGTCTCAGCTTCTCCATAATTCCATGCTTGACTCTTCTTGTCCAAGCTGGTCTCTCATTGGTCTCATTTCCTGTGGGTAACACTTATTGTCTGTCACACATTTGGCATCTGTTTCCATTGTGTATGTTGTCTTAGCAAAGACTTTGCAAACACTGTAAGGACCTGACCAAATCTCAAGGCTTCTTTTGTATTCCTTTCTGTGCCAGCCATAAAACTACATACACAAGAGATAAACAGTAATTCTTGTTGAAATGAAATTTTACACTTAAGGTTCCTGCAGTCTGCTCTTGATTAAGTGTACAAATGATGGCATGGAAAATTCAAAGGAGTGTGTGTGTATGTGTGTCTGGGTGTCTATAACTGTAGTCATCCCTGTAGGCTTACTTTCATAATTGTTTTACCTAGGTTAATACTAAAATCAGTTTAGTGTGTACCATTTGGTAATGAGATAGTGCGTAGCAGAGGAAATTAAGATTGGGATTTTAAATTTGCTATAGATAACCCTCGAATTGGATAATCTGAATGTTCATAACTTCAAGACTTTAGTCTATATTAATGTGCTTGAAATGACATAGTGAAGACATGGGGCAAATTTGTTAGTTACAGCCTGAAACAGTTTTTGAGATACTTAAAATGTTTTTTTTAATGTTTTGTTAATTTTGAATTAACACATGCCAATATTCAAAACATACAAAGAACAGAAAAAGGATTGTATATAAACCTGCAAATCTGCAATGTCTAGCTTATTTCCTTTTAAAAATATATATAATTCAGTATGTTAATTTTGAAGTTATCTTACTTGTGTGTCTCCCTCTGAACCTCCAGTTCTTTTCTGTCTTTTAAAAATTGTTTCATAAATATTTTTATTTATTTTCCTGTTTTTCACCATTATTGTCACTGCCTCCTCCTAGCCCTCAATTCACTTCCCCCTCATTAATAGTAAAAAACCCCAAACCCTCCCTTATAACAAATTAGTATAGTCAAACAAAACAGATTCACACATTGGCCGTTTGCAAAAATGCACTTTTTTTTTTGCTTTTTGGTAAGGCAGTCAAGGTTAAGTGACTTGCCCAGGGTCACACAGCTAGTAAGTGTAAAAATGTACTTTTTTTTTTGTGAGGCAGTTGGGGTTAAGTGGCTTGCCCAGAGTCACACAATTAGGAAGCATTATGTGTCTGAGGCCAGATTTGAACTCAGGTCCTTCTGACTCCAGGGCCAGTGCTCTATCCGGTGCTGTATCCACTGTGCCACCTAGCTACCCCAAAAATATACATTTTTAAGAAGGAAAAGATCTCCCAGAAGGAGGAACCTATCACTTCTTGAAGTAGCCTATTCTACTTTAGGGCAGCTCTGATAATTAGGAAATTTTTCCTTATGTCAAGTGTAAATTTACTTCTTTGTAACTTCCTTTCATTGCTCCTGGTTCTGCCCTTCATAGCCAAACAGGAACAAATCTAATCCTTCATACACACTCCAGGACTTCAGTTAGTTAAAGACAGCTATCAGATTCCTTGAGTCTTCTCCAAAGAAGACTTTGATAACTTGAAAAGCAGTCCAGAGGACTGGACGTGGATAATTAATGTGGGCAACAGTGGAGACTAGCCTGTTAGTTTCTTGGACTTCTGTAGCACCTGTTCTGTCTTGGGCTTGGAGGGGGAGTTAAAGAGAAGAGACTGACTGAACAGATAGAAAGGATTGCTGATTACCAACACTTTCACTTGCTTACACCTTATTCAGATGTGCTAAATATTCTGTGAAGTTTTTTTTTTTTAAAGAACCCTCTAAATCTCTCATTTGGGTTTTGACTTTAGAATGGAAACCAATAACCTGTGGCAATATATCACCATTTTTCTATTTTCTATTTTCTTATCTTTAAACTGAAAAATCTTCCAGGCATCTGACTCTTAAACAAAAACCAAATTCGCCAACCCTTTTGTTGAATGATTTCTTTAGAAATAGACGGGTATAGTGAAAAGAGCATAGGACTAGAAACCAGGGGAATAAATGTAGTCTCTCATCTCTGCCAACTCAGCTTACTGACTTGGGCAAGTTACTTAAACTCTCTTCATCTTAGTTTTTTCATGTAAGATCCTTTCCAGCTCTGAAATTCTATGATGGGAATTTAAGCCGTTGGGAAGTGAGATAGCAGTTGCATAATAATTTTTGGCAGGTTTTAAACATACCGTATTTTTGTTATCAAAAGGACAGGATATGTAAATATTGATGATCTTATATATTTACAGAGCATGTTGTTTACGTGATACAGATGGGTTATGATACAAAGACATTGTAGCACATTGAAAAAAAATTTTGTTGATTAAATGCTATTTAAGCTTGAGGAGGGGGGAAAGGTAAACTCTTAAGTACCTACTGTCAACAGAGTTGATCAGAGATCTTAAAGCTTCTGTAATAGTTATGACCATTTTATTATATTATAGCTAGCACTTTAAGGTTTTGTGCAGCACTTTCTTCTGTAGATCTGCTTGCTAAAAGGATTGATCACATTATATCACATTACATTACAGTACAATTGGCCGTAAAGCTAGTTGTTATATATTGAACTTAATTTTCCTGTTTGCCCATCTCCATTTTAAAATTGAGCTGGGATCTTATCTGCTTCTATGTGCCCTCATATCTGTCAAG